ATCGAACTTGATTATGGTGACGATGCCTCCTTCGGTCGTTACGGGCAGCTTGATTGTGCTGATGGTAGAGGTGGAGTCGCTAGCGAAGCCCGTGAGTGCTTTCGGGGCGACTTTGATCTGGCTGTCCTTGATCCCCATATGGATTAGGGTGGTCTTGAATATGAGATCGACGGAGCTTCCTGTGTCGATCAAGATCTTCGAGACATCGTCTGATCCGATACGGAGGGAGATGACGAGCGGGTTGTTGTATGGGCGGTCAAGACCTTCGGCATCTGCCTCTGTGAAGGTGATGGGCGGGGTGTCGTCGTAGACCGGTGTCCCTTTCTTGGCGTTCGTGGCATGGCGCTCGTGCTTTTTTATTGAGTTGATCGAGTCATTGCATGTAATGAGGCCGCCCATGATCATGTTGATCCTGCGTCGGGGTGACGGGAGGGCTGGCGGTGGTGGCGGCGAGTTTTCCCGTGCACTTTTGGGTTTCTCGTCAGGGCGGGCTTAATCTTGATGTGCGGGGGCATGTCGGTCGTCAACCCGAGAGCGGGTGTGATCAGCACGGGGTCGGCGTGAGTATCCGTCTCGTAGTCGGTCATCCAGTTTGATTCTACCGGCCAGCCATTCTTGCATGAGGACGTCTCTAAGGTGGCAGCATTCGGTGTCATCGTGGTCAGAGCGCTTGTGCCATGTGTAATATGGTTACGATCTAGAGGCGTCGCCCGAGGTGTTTACCCATTTATTCCATGGGTGAAGTCGGGCGATGGTGGAGACGTTGGCTTTGCGAGCCTTGTCATCGCGATCATAGTGTTGACGAGGTTCCTGGTATCCCTCTTCTTTAGGTCAGGATCTTGTGGATTTCTTCTTCGCCGTGAGTTTTTCATCCTCCTTGGCTTGTGTGTCTTCCAGGTTCATGAATTTTGTGGCTTTATGGAGGAGTTCGTCGAGGGATTGGTTTTTGCCGGTCGCGATTTTGTCATAGAACTTCTGGTTCTTGCGAAGGTTGAGCTTGAGGGCGATTATGGCGTTCTCATCTGTCGGGTCGCATCGGAAAACGACCGTGCGGAAACAACCGATGTAATCCCGGAGGGTTTCCTTCTCTCCTTGGATGCAGGTCCAGAGCTCGGAGGTGTTTCCTTCTCGCTCGATGTACATGGAATAGTGTCGGAGAAACTCTAGGGAGAGCTGGGCGAACGTCTCGATGGAGTACGGTCCGAGTTTGGAGAACCACTGGAGTGCGTTTCCAGCTAGGGACTCCACAAAGTATTGGCAGAGGGAAGCGTCGTGTTCCTCGGGTGAGAACCGGGCACGGTTCATGGCGTTGTTGAAGGTCATGAGATATTTCTACGGGTCTGTGTTGCCGACAAACGACGCTGGGAGTTGGAGCTTCACGGTGTCACGTAGGGGTACGCGAGTGATGCATTCGGCGAACGGTGTCTGTTGAGTGAGCTTCAGGACTTGTTCGAGCTCGGGGGCCGAGCTCGTTGTGTTATGAACCTGCGACTTAATTTCGTTGATTTTCTGGTAGAGCCGGGTAATCTCGGCTTGCGCGGGGGTCTCGTGGGAGGTAGAGTCCGGGGCGGACAGGCGGGATTTGTGCTTAGATCGCGCGCTGGAATCCTTCACGTGCTGGTCCTCGCTGCCCCGTGCTGGGGTGGGTGTTTCGCCGAAGATTAGGCGCTTGGCTCCGGATGCAGTGATGCCCCTGGGTATGTGGATGGCTCTGGGAGTGCCGGTCTCGGTATCGTCTGTATCCCGTGGTGGAGATTCAGGTCGGGACTCCTGTAGTGTCTCAAGTACGCGACCTGCTGAGCTTTGAGAGCCCCTATCTGCTTGTTCATCTTGTTGTCCATCTGTGCCATGAACGATTGTAGGATGGCGGTGATGTCCGTTGGTTCGGGTGGAGGTGGAGGGGGTGGGAGTGTGCCCGTCGTGTTAAGGGAGCTCCGGGCTGGCAGAAAGTCGGTCTCGTCGGTCGTCCCGTGCTGTTGGACGTTTGAACTGCCACCAGGCTCTAGAGGGGTGGAGCCTAGTCCGGTCTGCGGTATCCTGGGGTTGTTTCCGACCTGATTTTGGGCGGGTGGTTGGATGATCGTATCGTCGTTGGTCTTGTCGGTGGATCGCTTCTCCGTGGACATCTTCGAGTTACAGCATGAGTAGATGAACTTGTATCTTTTGTTCCTCACAGACGGCGCCAATTGTAAGATCTAGATCTCCCTAAGAGAAAATATAAAGATTACGGGGGCAAAAGATATAGTTTTATTGAATTTAGCCGGAGCTCGAAGAGTACAAGAGATTTAGGTCGTCGGAAAAGAACGCCGACCTAAATTTTAGGAGTAAAGAACCGAGATCTAGAACTGGAAGCAGTAAGCTATTATTTGCCCTAGGTCTCGAGTCTGAAGTTGTGAATGAATGATCTTCGAGGGAGGGGGTTCTTCTTATATAGTCTTTGCAGACCGCCTTGAAATTAATCCTTCTCCTTCGGGATTAGGATAATTTCCTTTCTTCACGGGGTTCTCTTTCCTTTTCTTCCGCGATTCGAATATATCATTGGATATTTCCATATTTGAGCGCCGACCTAACTCCAGAGGTGGAGGTAGGATTTCAAATGGGTCTTATCTCAATTTATGAAAGGCTTTTAGCAAGGGGTGCTAAACCCATCACTAAGAGTTTTTCTGAATATTATTAGAGTTAAAATAGAAGAATGTTCAGAAAACGCTTCTTAAGGATTTATACAAGTGAACCAAAGTGTCTTACCAATTCTTACCTCTCAGGCTCGTTGGAGGACCACCTCACTTACTGGTTCAGCAGTCGATTCTGTTTTTTTCTTTGACCCTCTGTTTTTTTTTCTAAAGTATTTTTTTTCGTTAACTCTGTTTCTAATTCATTAGCTCTCTCACGGGATTTATTTATAATAGGTGTATAATAAGAGGTCTCTGTATATATATATGTAATAAAAAAATGTTGATGTAATATTTGGAGGTAACCGCATAAATCATTTCGTTGTTTCACATGATATTTCAAAATAAAACAAATTTAACTAAAATTTTCATGTATTTATTGTACTTTACAAATAATGTAAGTTGTGAAATCCTTCTGTAGTTTCATCTTTATGTTATATGATTTTATCAAAATTTTCATTCTTAAAAAAAAAAAATTCACATATTCAAAATGTTATTATCTGGTCGAAAGGACAACCACAATGTTATTATCTTACTTTTAAGGTTACAATATGTAGCTAAATATCTTTTTCGGAATTCTATCTGAAATTCATTCATTTCTATATATTTACACGGAAGATTAGTCAGATTTAGTCAGAATTATCCTTTGTTTTGAAATAAAAAATGTTAACCAGTGAAATTATTGACAGCAGTTATTAAAATTCTGAAATGGTGGAAATAATTTTAAGAATTGAGAAAATATCTACAAAAAATAAAGTGTAATCGTTAATCGTAAGAAGTTTAAACTTTTCGTAGCTAACATCTCTTTTAATTCTGTCTTTTTCTATCTACTTTGTGATTGCTATGTTTTAATTGGTTTTTGATTTTAATTAGATGTTAAAAAGGTTGAGATGATATGTCCTGAAAAACATTAGTATTTTTATAGTATTGATTAGGACAAGATAAAAGTAGTACAGAATAGAAAAGAGAAACACTTGCTCACCTTGGAAAGAACAAGATTTGCAATAGTATTTAATATTTAGAACGTCAAGAAAGTCAGTAGCACGAAACAAAGAAGAGCAGTTCCAAAACTACATGAGCTGAAGAGAGGAGATCGACGGTTGGATGTTGACGGGATGAAGATCGGAATAATCCCTTTTCTTCTAGCGAAAATGTGAAGATTGTTGTCGGCTTCGGCGCCGTGTTCAGCAAGTTTTCGATCATCACTGTGATCATCTGATAAAATAGGACGAGATTGAATGATTAACATGAAGATGATAATGAAACAACAACAAACCACTGAAGATCTCATCGACTTCTAAACTTTAATTGATTAAAAAGGATATTTCTGAAATTAAAAACAAAACGTTACATGCTAAATAACGTCCACCTGTATGAGAATTTATAATCCCAGAGTGGTAGGTACTTCGAACATTTTTAAAAAACATAGATTAGAACAACTCAATGACAGATAAGATTATTAATCTTTCAAGTTGTGAGCGGCATGGATAATAATAATAACTTTGGAGTATTGCATCACATATTCACATCAATATCTATTAGGAGGTTTCAACGTTTAACAACAAAAAACGAATAGATTATAATTAACGGACTATCTCACTCTCCATGATAGACCATTTTGATGTCTCTTTTATGTTTGCAGATACGTATATGAGAACTTTTGAATAGTTTGTGAGATTCAAATCTCAGTTTTTTATGTAAGAACTAGAATACGAGCACACAAGAAAATGGAAAAATAACCTTACAAGAATGATTATTTGGAGGTTTTTTTTTTTCAAAACGAACAAAAGAAAACCTTAATACATTTCTTTATCCCGGAGCTTATTTCAACGATGATTGAAATTGACTAAGGCATATCTAATTTAATTCATTATCAACGTTGACGTTTAAGGTTTGTTTTTAAGTTGTCGTATTTAATAAAAACAAGTTAAGGTTTAACTTAATTCGTGCACGCCACATATGCAACTTTGTCAACTATGAACCCCACGTTACTCTAACGAATAAATGATGATATTACTACTAATATAAGATCGTAGGTTGAAAATTTGAGTTTTGAAATATGCACCAAATGTTTTATTTCCGGCATTGTCAAAATAAAAATCAAAAGGACAAAAGATTTATACATGTAAACATTAGTGTTTGTATATGCGCTTACTAGCTAACATGATGTGTTGATACTTAATAAACAATTTTGTCAAAACATACTATATATCACTGTGAAAATGCTTGTGTCAAACAAAACTTGGATTTTAATTTTCTCAAACACAAACTAGTTTAGTGAAATTGCTTTTGAATATTTCTAAGTGATAGCTATGAAAAATTCTCTATCAATCAACAAATGTATATTTTTCTTTTCTCATCCTGAAATGTTTCAAAACTCAAGAATGGAAAAAAAAAACTACTATAATAAAGAGAAAAAAAGGTAACAGAACTAAATAAAAATATTTCCAAGTTGTATAAAACAGAATTCAGACTACTCAAGAAAATGTTCAAAACTTGGCCGGCAAGAAGCACTTTCAGAGCAAACTCCGACAAGCTTCGACCTCCGCCGCCTGCGAATCCAAAACAGACTGTCCCGTTGGACTCTCGCCAACGCTCTTTACCACCGCATCAAACACAGTTTTCCTGAACCATTCATCTTCCATCTTCTTCAAAACCTCTTTAACCATCTCGAAACCCAAGACATTAACCGAGACCAACTTCCCAAGGATCTCTCCGAAGCTGCTTGGTGCTTTTGGCAGATCGATTCCAATGTCATCCAACATAGAGCTGTACAGCAAACAACCGGCACCTACATCTTTACTAGCCAGAACATTCTTTGTCATCAGATGTTTCAAGAGGTTGAAAACTGGTTCAACGCACGGAGGGTTCTTCTCTAGACCGAGTGAGACCGCTTCTTTGACAAGCTCCGGGTGGTATGAAGGAGATTTTAGCTCCTCAACGCATTGAGATGCCTCATCCAATAAAAGAACACCGAAATACTCCTCAAGAAGCGACTTAGTCTTTCTTTCAAGCTCTCCCACGCTCAGGCTAGTAGCGAGAGGAGCCACCGCCTGTGGCTGAGGCTGAGGTCTCGGCTTCTCGACGGTTGGAACGGGTTTAGGGGCTTGAGGAGCTGAACCGTTACCTTGCAAAAGAGCGCTTGGCCTACTACTACCACCACCATTGAGCAAGCCTCCACTGCCCTGAGGAAGCAGCCTTGAGTTGACTGAGAGTGACTTGTTGACAGCAGGAGAAGGCTGACCACGCGCAGCAACAGCATGTCTGTTGCCTCGTGGCATGGACCGAGTACGCGCCATCTCCCAGCCGTCTTCATCCATAGCCATCTTCCTAGTAGCTCCCGGCATGCCAGGCATCATTCCTCCGGTACCAGGACGGCCAAGGATGTTTCCAGAGCCAATACTACTCTCTGCGCCACGGTTGTTGTTGTTGTTGCTGTTGTTTCTCATACTAGCCATCGCGCCAGGGCGTAACCCGAGCTTCCTCTCTGCCTCTGAATGGATCTCAGTGATTTTCTTTGCTTTCACCTGCAATGTACATGTAGTAAGACAAACAACATGTAAGCAACGGATCAAGAAGAGTTAGAGACTTGAATAGAGAATGTTTGAAAAAATCCTTACCTCCTCACGCCTCGGTACCCATTTGTGAGCTCGGAGATCGATAACGTCCTGGACCATGAATCTGAGACGAAGCTCTAGCTGAGGGTGCGTTGCTATGTTCTTCAAACGAAGGAAGTACATGTCGTTCACGCCTCGAGATCTTGGGTTCTCGTCGAGTTGCTTCCCGATGATTATGAAAAGCTGGCATAGAGCCTCGACATCTCCATCTGCTGGGCAAGCTTTACTGTCATCGCCTATAAGCTCCTGTGTTAACCACATTCAAGGATTAATAAACAAAACTACTGTATATAGACTATATAACAAAACAAGAAATATTGGTTCATATACTTACTTGTACAATGTAATGAACTATCTTCTCTGTAACCATCTTCTGCTTCAGAAGCTCACCAATCAGACGGAGATTCCCTAAAGTCCTGAGCTTCGCAAGCTTCTCCTTATCCATTCTCTCCATCTCTTGGTCTGGATTGGTCATCTTTCTGATCTCTTCCATACCCTTTTTAGCACCTTCGAATGCCTCTTGGCAGTTATTCAAAAGGACTCGTTTGAAAGTTACTTCCTTCCCTCCGGGCTCCTCCGATGGAAACGAAGGGAGCTTCCCATTGATATCACAGCACAGAAGAGCATACATCTCACAGAACGTTGGCTGCAGTACAGCATTCTCGAAAATCAGCCGTATCACTCCCTGCAATCAAAAAGGTAAGTTAAAGCAAATCAATGCAGACAGAGGTTAACTATAACAAACAAATTCACATCAGGAATTGTATAAGAAACCTCTAGGATTTTCGCAGAAGTGATGCCAGAGTCAATCAATTGGCCTTTGAGAAGCTCATACTTCTCAGGAGTAAGCTTGTTCAGAATACTGCAGAGAGTAACACAATCAGTCAAATATATACAGCAACACTAACCCCAAGCACAAAAGCTTAAATAAGACTAATAAATATACCCTTTCACGCTCTTGAGGACACGGTCCTTATCCGAAAGAGCTCCTCTTTTAGCTGACCATGGGACCTCTGCTTTCACCAGCTTAGGAGGAGGACCAGACTGTTTCAAACAGATGATCATGTTAAGAAAGAAGCCCAAAAAAACTATTTAACAGTACGCCACAGTATAACAAGTAATGTATATACTTACCACTTGGTTAGATGGATTTTTAGCCTCTCTACCTTCGTCCCTTGACCATTCTTTAGCAGGGATTGAGACCGGAGCACGGCTATGCCAGTCACGGTTATCAGTCTCGGTATGACGATTATGAGGTTGGTTTGATGGCTGATGAGACCAAAAAACAAAGAATTGGATTTAAAAGTGTGACAATTTGAGAAAAGAGACACAAAAACAGGAGAAGAAAAACACTCACTTTACTCTCAGCTGCACGACCAACCCAACTCTGCTCTTCGCCGAAAAGCTCCGGCGAGATTTCCTTACTGCGTCTCAGAATCTCAACAGAGACTTGGATCGTCTGTGTGATTAAAAAAAAAAAAAAAATTGAGTGATTTGGTTCAGGACAAAGTACAAAGCCAAAGCCAAAGTTATGTCCAAGAATTAGACTTTAACTTGTTACCTCTTTCAGCTGAAGCAACTGTTCTCGGGTAAATTTCAAACGCTCACCACCGTCTCCTCTCTACAAAAACACAAACTTTTTGTGCTCATGATTCAATTACACAAGAGGGAAACAAACAGGTCGAAACATCGATAAGACAAAACAGAACATATCTCTAACAGTGATTGCCCACAAGTATCAATCTTTGTCAATATTTACAGCAAGATCACGTAACTTAAGTGCCCCACCAAGAATTAAGACATTACATAGTTTTAAAATTAACAACCTAAACCTAAACCTAAACGCCAAACCCAAAAGATCCAAACTTTCTTCAGAATACTATTCAACCCTCAATTAAAAAAACTCGTTTTAATTCGGAATAATAAGAAAACTGTGAAAACGTATGAAATTAAATTGAAGAACACACATAGAGAAGGAGAAAACAGAGGATTGATTGCGCAGATATTACATGAACCTAAACCTAAATCCAAACATAAGAATCAATAAAAGATCAAAACTTTCTTAACAATACGATTCAACCCTCAATTCCACAACTCGTTTATGTCAAATTATCGAGAAAATTCTGGAAACCCCATGAAATCAAATTGACGAGAAATACGAAGAGAAGGAAAAGCAAAAAAACAGAGGATTTGCGAATTTTCAATGTTTTACCTTGACGACAAAAGTAGTTTCTTCGCCGCCAACATTGGTAAGATCAGAAGAGGAAGAGGAGCTAAAACGCGGTACGAAAAGCCTGCTTCCGCCGCCGCCACCACCACCGGGTCTCAAACTCAACACCGACGTTTCACCTTGTTGTTGCATTACTCGATTCCTTTTTTCACGATTAAGGATATGATTTGGAGAAGGCAAAATTCAGCAGATAGATAGAGCGATGTATATATATATTATGTGTGTGTATTGGTTTTGTATGTTATGACGGTGGGGAAGACAAAAATCACTTCGATTTCTTTAGTAATTTTATTTTTGAGGGGATTATTGAGGGATTTGCAGCTGTGTTCTGTGTTTTTTTTTTTTGCCCTAGTTCCCTTTTTCTTTTGTTATTTTCCTTTTCTTTATGTCTTTAATATTTGTTAATTACGAAATATCCCACTATTTCCTAAATATTTTTAATTTTGGATCATATATGATGAACGCTCTATTACAGACTACTCTCTCAAAGCTCCTTCTTCGAAATACTAGAGCTTGATGGAATTGTGGTTTATAAACGGGAAGTCATTTTTGAAACCTCATCGAGACAAGTAATGTTGTTTTTAATTTTTTTGAAAAACGTAATATTAACCATGTATGAGAGAGACATGTAATCAGATAGCTAATCAATTGCATAAAGTGTTACCAAAAATCATCGATATCATCAATTGTACAATGCTAGAGAGACGGTTAAACTCATGGAATTCATTTACGATGCTTATGCATGTAATGGTTTGATATGTGTTGTCTTATCTTTCTTATGAGATCTCTCACATGATTTCTTTCTTGGAGGGCGAACTTTTCATGTAAAATATTTAGACTGAGTTGTATTATCTTGATATGTCTACTAATATGTTTTCTTTTGTATTCTTTATAATGTGATTCTTTTACATGAAAGTACTTTGTTCATAAATAAACTTATAAAATATATGACTTCTTCCATTAGATCATAATAGTATATCAGGGCTAGTGGAGGAGTTGGAGTTGGAAGTTACTGAAGAAGGTTGTTGAAGGGATAATGAAGAGGCAAGAAGGGTTGGAGAAGATGCAAGAAGAAATGGAGAAGATGTTGGAGTCTATGAAGAGATCATGAAGAAGAGGCAAGAAGAAGAAGTTGCAATGTCTTTTCTTTATGATTTGTTTAGATTATATATGTGTTGATTATGAGAAGTTGTTTGCTAAAAAAATAAAAAATTATACCAACTCAAAAAAATGCAACATCTTTGAAATATATGATGTATGCTGTAAAAGTACAAAATATGACTAATTTGAAAATATTTGACAATCATATTGTTAATTGACAAGCAAGTTAGGTTTTGGTTGAGAGTTATGATGGTTGATTATTATTTGCTCTTTATATGAAAAGATTTTATTTATCCTTAATAAAACTAATAAATTAATATTATCTAATTTTTGATTTTCGTTTTATTTAAACATAAATTTCAAAATTCGAATTTATATCATAGTAATATTCAGTTTACTAAAAAAGTAATTAGCATAAATCATAAAAAAATTTAATTCTAATAATTTTCTTAAACTAATTTTAATTTAATCGTTTAACCTACTAATATTTTTAATTAAGTTAATTGATTTATGCGGTCACAAGTAAAACTCTAAATCTTATGAAAATTGATTTATGCAGCCAAAAACAATATATTTCATGAAATTTTTATTTTTCAAATATATTAATCTGATTTCAAATAATTATTAAATATGATTGTTTCATCTATAAATAAACTAATGTTATTATTTTTTTAAAAAAAATTAATCGAACCCTAGAAAAAAACAATTCAAGAATCTCTAGCTCTCTCAGTGACGGTCTATGGCCGATTTTGAATGATTCATTAAATTATCTCACTTGTCAACTATGGCTGAACTGTTTTGGATATCAAACGGACTATGGCCGATTTTTTATTAATGGGCTTATCCATTACTTATTGGCTCGCTTTAAATCAGTCCAGAAAACCCATAATCAAACGGTGTACGGGCACTAAATTTCGAAACGACGTAGTTGCGATCTGTCCATTTTTTTATTTGGATAAGAGCTTCTTGCAGATTCGAAGGTTTTCGAGCTCTCTGAGTGAAGAAGCGCCCATGACTGGAATAACCAGCACCGTAGGATTCAACGCCGTTTTCGCCGGAATCACCAAATCGGCTTCTCATTCATCATTCTGCGTTACATCTATCGATTCCAAGCTCTGCGGTCTTCGTCTCTCCAAGGCCGAACTCCCCGTTGCTAATTCTCCTCGACGTGGCCTCGCCGTCACTTGCCGCTACGGCGGTGGCGGAGGAGGCTATCGTTTCTCTGGAGACTCTAGACGAGGTAGGCCGAAAGAGGCCGAAGTAGATGAAGCGCTTGATATATCGTCAATTAGGTGAGGTTTCTTCCCCAAATCGAAAGCTTTTTTTTTGTGTGTGTGGTGATTCCGAAATTTCTTGCTGAATTATGTTGAATTCGTGTAGGTCAGCTACTGTTAGGCTAATAGATGGGCAACAGAACATGGTAAAGTGAATAATGTTTAGTTCTTGTAATCAATAACAGAGAGAAAAACAAAGCTTTGATTCAGCAAAATAGACCCATAAAATTTGCAGTCTGTGTTTGTGCTCTCTTAGCTTGGCTTAGTGTCTAAAGACGAAGCTGTTCGAATGGCTGAAGATGCTGAACTTGATTTGGTATGTGTTACTTTCTTCCATTGAACAATTCAAATGGATACATAAATGGTTTTTTTGGTAATGCAATCTTCATTCTTCTTCACCCTTAAGTTACATCTGCTCATTGAAAAACTCAGGTGATTCTATCGCCTGATGCAGATCCTCCGGTTGTTAAAATGATGGACTATAGGTTAGTATCGAAATGTCTCCTTATAGTATCTACAAAATGATGGAATCTTAACGCGAATGATGTTTCTTCTCTCGTTATCAGTAAGTACAGATATGAACAGGCAAAGAAGAAGAAGGATCAACAAAAGAAAAGTATTTGACTGTACTTTCTCTTCTTGGTTTTACTGTTTAGTATTGAAGACATGCTCATTTGTTTTTTTTTTATCTTGTGTTCTTTCTATATATCAGCCACTCGCATGGACTTAAAGGAGCTTAAGATGGGGTATATTGTTCACTCGTTTCAGTTTCTTTTGTTTGTGATGTTGCAATGGCTTTTTTAAGACTACTTCTTCTCAAAGGTTACTACTTTTTATTTAAAACAGTTATAACATTGATCAGCATGATTATTCCGTACGGCTAAAAGCTGCCCAAAAGTTCTTGCAAGATGGTGACAAGGTTTGTTGGTTTGTTCCCATATTCTTCATAAGATGCAAGAGTTGTCTCTGCCCCATCCCAATTATGTACTTTGTAATGTACTCAGGTTAAAGTGATTGTGAGCATGAAAGGACGAGAAAACGAGTTCAGAAACATCGCTATCGAACTCCTCAGACGTTTTCAAACGGAAGTTGGGGAGGTAACATATATTAGATTCTCCTCTCTTTACCCATAACAAGTGTATGGAACTGAACATGTTTTGTTTTGAGTCACTGAAAACTTGTCCCGCTTCTGTAGCTTGCGACTGAAGAGAGCAAAAACTTCCGGGACAGAAACTTGTTCATTATCTTGGTGCCAAACAAGGAAATGATCCGGAAACCACAAGAACAACCCTCGAGAAAGAAGAAGAAACCGGCTGAAAACGGAGTTTCAGCTTCGGAAAATAGTGTTTCAGCTTCGGAAAACGGTGTTTCAGCTGCGGAGAACGGTGTTGCAGCTGTGGAAAATGAAGTTTCAGCTGCTGAATAACGACGGCGCCATAATATATTACAGTCGCCATTTGTCTGCAAATCGAGTTCTGGAGAGTTTTAAGATCATGATGAGGTAAAAGGATTTGAGGGCTAAAAGTAAAGTTTTGTATATTTACTTTTCTTCCATGTCTCAAGAGCTGTAACAGATAGAATTAGTCCTATTTTGAATGATGTTCTTCGGTTGTAGAGATCTTTCTTGAAATCAATTTGTAACTTACCAGCTTAGTCGATTCATACAAAAAAAAAAAAAGTACACATATCTTTAGTTTTCTACATACTTTTCCCACATCTTTACGTATTTATATAGCTGCCTCACATCTTTACAACATTAAACTAATTGAGTTCATCATATATGTTGCAGAAAAGAGCTTACATGTGTATAATTAAAACTGCATCTTCTTCATTGATTTTCTTTAAACCCTCTATTTCACATCTTTTTCCTATCTAAGTAAAAGACAAAATGGAAAAAGATGTTTGCAGAAGAGAATGCGAGGCAAAAAAAAAGATCAATTTACAAGTCATCTTTTAAGTGTTGGCCGTGTGTTGTTTGTTATGGCCATGGAAACTTGCTTAATGGCAATAACGAAGACTCTGCATCTTCATCTCTTCTTCTTCTTGCTTCTTTTGTATCAAATGAGTCATGATGCTATTCTCTTCTATCTGGATTCACACAATGAAATAACTCTGTTAACGTGTTGTTCAACCAAATCTAATAGATTCTTGGATTCTTATATTCATTTTGTTACCTCCATGACTGCGGTTGATGCCAAGAGATTTTCACATTTGTCAAGCATAAAGTTCTCCTTTTTAACTATAAAAGCGAGATCCGAAACAAGTTTATCCATCTCTTCCATCTGCGTAGTTGCAGCAACAGAGTGAAAAAGTTCAAGAACTTGAAATGACATATTTGAAAGTTAGATTAAATGAAAGTTTAGTCTCACCTGAGAGTGTAAAGAACATATGGATGATCCCATTTTCTGCATTACATCAAGAGCAGAGGACATAGCCAACTTCAGAGATCCAAGGTCAGCCTGCGAATCAACAAGAGGTTTCCTAAAATCATAACTCGATTCTTGGGTCTTTGTTCTGTTTTTCTATCACTATATGAAAAGATAAACCATATATATAACCTTTGTTCCTCCGGTCAACGGAAGGCGGAGAGTATTTGCTTCCAAGTCTCCAATGGCACCAGCTAAAGAACCAATGTGGTCTCTCTCAAGTGTGGCCCAATCTTCAAGATAAACCATCTGTGCAAAGACAAGCATTTAGATCACCTGAACACAAATGCAGTTTGATGATAGAGAGAGAGTGAAGATATATAAACCTGATCATGTAAGATGGATTCTAGCTTCATCTCTAGCTTCAACTGTTGGAGACAAACTCTTTGACTGGTCACGAGATCTCTTAGGTCTGATGTTGCATGCCACACATTGTATAGAGTTTCCTGTAACCTCAAGATTGTTAAAACAGAGGAAAAACAGAGGAAGAAACAATGAAAGATGGAAAGTTTATGCTCAAAACTGATCCAATGTTTCCGTTTTAAGTATTGTTCTTACCTCTGCAATTAACCTCCGGATATATCTTACTCCCTCAGCTCGAGCATTCGCAAATCGCCACTGAGAGTATCGGTTATAGAGCAAGCGAAGTTGATGAACATCTTCTATGTAAGTTGCCTTTTTCCCTTTTTTAACATCCGCGATGAAACTTAGAACCGATGTTGTTGTGTTGCTACTAGATTGTGTAGTCGCGTTGGTTTGTCTGATCCTTGAAGGACTCACACCTCTTGAAGGACTCAGTCCTCTCAAGGGACTCAATCCTCTCAAAGGACTCATGCCTCGAGAGTTAGAGGATGATGATGAAAACGAGGATCTGCTCGGAGAAGCAGCGCGTGATCCAGGAGCAGACAAAGGGTGAACTCTAGCTGAAGTTGTCCTATCTAAAAGCTTGTGAGAGTCATAACTGTTACCATCTTCTGAGTTCGTTGGAGACATCACTAGTCCACCACTTTCATAACAAGACAACAACCTTGCCGTGTCACTAGAAGACTTCTGCAAAGGCTTAGAGCTTTTAACAGACAAAGGAAGAGACATTCTCCTAGACGCTTTATCACCAAGATCCAAGCTTCTGTTCATAGAATTCGAATTCATCTTTCCTCCGGTTCTACTAGGCCATCGATGCTGTTCTATTAACCTACTCTGAGAACCATCCACTGGTTTCGAGTTCTCTGATTGACCTGCAGAGACATTCTTCCCCTTCATCGGACTCCTTTTCCTCTCTGGGGTAAGTTTCCTCGACACAGAGGTTGTTGTCTCACTCTGCTGCTTATGAGCTATATTCGAAGACGGTCTCAATGTCCGATCAGTAGTAACAAAGGGTTTCTCCTTCTTGACAACAGGAACCGATACTGAATCAGACTGAAACGAAACGCTGAGGCTTCTCATAGTAGAAGGCCATAAGCTTTCAGGTAAACGCCTAGACGAAACCGGTAAATCTATAGATACATCACTAACCGGTGTGGACGGAGTAGTTGGCGTCGAAGAGCGTTTCCTCTCTACCGAAACAGCTCGTTTCGACAGCGATTGTGAGGTTGATGACACTGTCCTCGTGACATTAGGTGAAGGATATCTCTGAGTCTTGGTTGGAGTCGGTGATCTGTATCTTGAACTGACCTCCACTGTTCTAGACCGGCGCGTCGTGGCAGCAACCGCATTGTTGTTCTTCTCTGCTGGAACAAGAGGAGGTCTTGTAGTATCTGTTACGGATCGTTGTCGCTGCTGCTGCTTAGCCATTGTTGCTTTCTTGGAACCATATGATACTTCCATTCAAGCTAACAAATTACAAAACTTGCATTGATTTGATCCTGCAATAGGGTAGGAGAAAAGTAAGTGACAAATGGTGGATCAAAGAATGAAACCCTAATTAGCAAAAGGAAATATTACAATTCGATATCTATCTACATAGGAAATATAACATATATATTCTTGCAATAGTGAGATACCTCACAGAAGGAGAAAAAGCAGAGAGAATATTTAGACAACCAAGATGATAAAAGAAAGTATTAAAGAGTACATCTTTACAACAGAGAGACACAGATCAAGAATCAAAGTTGAAAAGAGAAGAAAAGGTAAGATCTTTACATCAAGAAGCCAAAACAGAAACAGATCAAGCCATGGAGATTGAAAAAAGACAATCATTGGTCCTTGGGACAAGCTGACTGGTTTCAAATCACCATAAAGTGTGAGTTCTATAAGAGTAGGGGTCCCCTAAAGAGAGAAAGAAAAGAAAAAGGGGACAACAAGAACAGCTTGAGACCTAGCAGTGAAAAGAGATAAAGAAAAGTTGTGCCTATGGACTAAAAAAATCAAACTGTCAAACAAGAGAGACAGAGAGAGAGGAAGGCAGGTCTAGTACTAGTAGTTACTTAATTGCACTTTCACATTTACAGAGATATTCTTGATTTCAATCAAAGACTTAAACATTTAACAACAACAAAAAAATATCTAATTTTTTTCAGTGTCCTTGTCACGGGTGTGCCATGGTCGGATGAATGGGCTGGAGAAATTAATGGAGGTTTCAGTTTCATTCACAGACCCACCTTTCTTCTTCCTCTTCCTCTTTCCATCAAAATCAAAACCCTCAAAGTTAACAAAAAGAAGTTTCCTTTAAACTAATAATAGTCTGATTGTTATAATAATGCTATGAAGTTTATTATATAATCAGATTTGCAGATTCATCTGTTTTTAATTACTGGAAGTGACAAAGAGGACCACGTGTATAGAAGAATCAGTGTCCACTCTCTCAGATGAATTGTGAAAATCTTCAGTAATAGTGATTAAAGTATAGTTTATGTTTTGACCATTTGAGAAAAATATGAAGAAGAAAACTTCAATTTTTTTCTTCTTTCTGGGGAAAATGAAGCTCGTGAAACAATGAAATATGGGATTCAAAAAAAACAAATTTGTTTTGTTTAATAGCGAAACGAGAAGAATCCAAAAAATGTCTGTTTTATTACACGGCCTGTGTCTCTCATGAAGCAGACAAGTTTTTATCGATCGAAACTATTTGGAATTTACTATTTTAATTTAGTTTATGCAAATCTTAGAATTGTTCTTCGCTCCTCTAAACGCCAGAAAACGGAAACAGGAATTGTCATTGTCGATTAATAATCAATGCTTTCGTTTATTTCTATTTTGGAATCAAAATAAATTAACGGAAACATCTTTTTCTTTTAGATCGCTGTTATCAAATTGAAACCCAGGGAAAAAAAAATTTAGGGTTTCTAATATTGATCAAATCAAAATGCTGTTAATAAAAATATAACATGAAGCTAAATCCTGGGGATTCGAAGTGGGAAACTCGAGAATCTAACCTGGAAAATCGAGAGAATGATGAAGAACACTTGATCTTCAAGTAATCAAAACCGAAAAATTCTTCTGTCCTCGAGATCACAGGGAACGAGGCGAAGGAGTAAACCCAAAATCCCTCGCCGGAAATGGAGAAAACTCGCCGGAATAACACCGGAAGATAAACTAATTCGGAAACTTTTGGAAATTTTTTTTTCAAATTTTGAATTTGAAGCTCGTTGAGGACGACACCACAAGAGAGGAGAGGAAATGAATTTGAATTTTCTTTTACTGCTGCGTTGTATTTTTGATCGTTGACAAGACTTTGCTGTTTTCAAATTTCAACTAAAGTTTGTTATTTTTTGGGTAGCCTAAAAGAGAAACTGTTAATTATTTTTTATAGATTTAATCATTTGACCCTACAAAAACATCGTATGATGATAGTGATTGTTATTACTTTTTCAAGTGTTTATACAATAGACTCTTTTTTTAATGTAACGTCTGGTGTATTATCTTATGAAGAAATAATAAGCAACGTTCATAAGGTTGAATATAATTTTCTTAAATAATATAAGAAAAATGTATCATTTGAGTGGGATATTTCTGAATTATGAGGGAAATGATTTTGAACTCAAGAAAAGATTTTATTTTTATTTTTCTAATAATATATAACTTCAAAGTTGATTATATATTGATAGTAACCTATTATCAATACTATGACATAATTTACAAAGTGATTAAAGTAGTTTTCATCTGGTTTATGGTTATGGGTTGAAAGAAACACATATATCTCGCATATTTCTTAAAGGCAGAACAAATTATAAAATTCAAAATATATATTAAAGTTAAATAGTATATACTTTTTTTACGTTTTCAAAATTTGAAAATATAATTTTTCTATTTTTTATTATTTAAATAATTCATTACGCTTTCACATTTTTTATGTTTTTAAAATGTGACTTTGTATTAGAAAAAACTAAAAAAAAAAATACAAAATGATTAATTTACTAAAAATCGTTTTATAATTATTCATTTCAATTTATTCTATTGACAAATTTTTAGTTATTATGTTATTTATTTATTTATCTAACATATACTAGTCAAATTCATTGCTTTTGGAGGATCTGAAAAATTCGCCACTAATCTGAAATCATCTACTGATTAGAATGTTGTGATTTTAAACAGCATTGGATCTCACCAGTCACCATTAAAAACCATATTTTTGTTTTTTCTTATAAAGGTTAACATTTCTTTCTTGTTACTCTTCTTAAGAAATGAACTTCTTTCTTTTACGGTTTACCTAATTCGTTTTCTCTTATTTGTTCATTTCACTATGAGACAAAGTTCATTCCACTTTTCTTTTGTTACTCTATCAGTTACCAGTCGACTTATATAATTAAATCTCTTTAACAAAAAAATATATAATTAAATTTTAAAAATGTTAAAGCTGTAAGCTATCATAAATAATAATTTAGTATTATATAGAGATATGTGTTTGAGTTTGATGTAGCATAAAACAAGTAAATTAGTAAATTTAAACCAACCAAGAGAAAGAGAAAGAAAAAAGGAGATGAAAGTCATAGAAGTGTAAAAATCGATTTTTTTAATAAACATAACCAAAAGCACTAATTACATTAGTATTACACGTATCAGAGCTAGTGTGTAAATAAACACGAGCTCACCTAACATTCATGGATTTTGGATAAGAGTGATAATGAAGCTATATACTGTACTACTAACAAACAAAGTAATGTATTTAGCCAAAAAAAAAAAGTAAGGTACATAATGATTGTTGTAAAAAAAATGTATATAAGACAATAATTACTCTAATATTATTGTTAACCATCACAAATTTAAAATGCCGAAAGTGAAAGATAAGTTAGATTATACTCTTCATTTTGTTGGCGTTTGGTGTTGTTAAGTATATAAGCAAAGACCCAATGATGAGCATTCATGTGCTTAGCATGATTATATTGTGACCACCATTTGGCTATTGCATATGCCATGCTTCTCAAATGTTTCCATTCCTTTTTTTATTAAGTTATTGGATCTAATTTGTGCCATTCATAATATCTTTCAAACTTAGTTCATACAATAATGTTAAGTTTACAGAATTCATCTTAAGAGTATACGTGAACTATGCAGAAATTTAGGAATTTGTGAGTTTGGTAATTAGAATGCAAGTGGACAAAACTAGAACAAGAGATCCATGCTCCGATATGAAGAGAAATCAAACTGTCCTTTATATTATTTTAATAAAGAGAATAATGAAGTTGACATTGGATGCCATATAAGCAAATCCTGAATCACAAGGAAACAGTAGGAACTGGAGAATATGAAGGAGACATAACAGAGGATCTTATGTGATGTCTGGAAGATCTTGTCTCCACACAAAAGTTCAATTAAATAAAACAAGACTGAATCCAAAAAACCATTCATAGTTTCAATTAAACAATCATGAAATGCATCAAAGATACAGAAAAAATGGTTTTACTAGTGTTTATATAGCTAAGATACACTCTGTAAGATCCCTTCATGCTTCTTAATCCTATGGTAAATTTTCACATATCTAGAAAAGTGTTTGATGTAAAATTTTATGTCGATAAACGAATATGTCCACAAGAACCATAAGAAGGGTTTCTGAGACTAAATTAAGGATTTGACTGATACAGTGTGTTTGACAAAAAAAACTTCAAAATTCGTCTAACATCCTTTAGCCTTGAAGATTAATGCTAAGGTGTTTGTTGACTTATCCTTTAAATATTGCTGAAAATTCACCAAAACCATGGCACTGCACTTGTGTTGATAATCCGAGGCGGAGCAGAGTTTAAATAAAGACCAATTGATCCGAAAGTCATCTCAAAGTGCTTTACTAGCTAGTGTTTATATAGCTAAGCCTAAGATACACTTTGTAAGATCGCTTAATGCTAACTAATCTTATTGAAAATTAAGTGTTTGATGTAAATATATATGTCCACAAGAACCATAAGAAGGGTTTGTGAGACTAAATTAAGGATTTGGCTCATACAGTGTGTTTGACAAAAAAAAACTTCAAAGATCGTCTAACAACCGTTAGCCTTGAAGATTAATGTTAAGGTGTTTGTTGATTTACACTTTAAATATAGCTTAAAGTTTGGGAATTTGCCAAAATCGTGGCTCTGCTACCATTTGCGTTGCACGGAAAAAATTGATAATCCGAGACGAAACAGAGTTTAATTAAAGACCAATTGATCCGAAAGTCATATCAATCTCTCAGCAGAGAATCCAAGAAGAGGAATGAAGAAAAGAATTTCTTATCTTCACCGATCTAACAGCAGAAAGCTCTACGTAGTTTAGAGCCTTGCTATACACGTCATCGTTCTATAACCTGAGTGCATAATCTGAAATCTTGGGATCAAGTTCATACCGCTGCAAGAACAAGTGTTTACATGATCTGCGTCTGCGAGCTACCTAAAATCATGCTCTAAATACGCTTTCCCTTAATCATGGTTCTAATCTTCCCATTGGGTATGTAAATTCGATATCTGCACGGTTCCATTGTTTATACAAAATGTTGATGATTGCAGTATTGTACGATCCAAAGTCGATTTTGTTCTGACCGTTGACTGTATAAGATGGGGATTCTAATGGCATTGTCTTCTCAAAACATCCGATGATACCTTAAAGGACATAAGACAAGAGAAATGAGGAAAGTTTTCTTAGATCACCGTGGCTCCGGTGGGGTCCATTTTGTCAACAATCTACTCAGAAAAGGTCTTCGCCACCATGGGCTTGGACAGAGTCATCTTCATCATAACACGGCATCACCATTCTTCAAGAACTTCGGCTCATCCTGACATTGGAGCTCAACATTGTCACAGGGAAGAGCCTCCACAAGAGACTCTTGGTGCATCTCAACAGACTCAACCACAATGGTTAGTCCAGAGGGAGCAAAGAGCTGAAGAGATCAAACAAAACAAGAACTGTGAGAAGAAGAAGAAGAAATTAAAACGTGTGTGAACACACTCATGTAATTAGCAAGCACACAACACAAGATGAGTCAAGGCAATAAACAGAAGATGACAATACCTATAGTTTTTTAAGAAGCCAAGTGTCTGCAAGAAAACTGAGTACCAAGATTTGATATGATTCAAAGA